GGCGGTTATGGAGAGATATGTCGCCTCTGCTAGGGTTTCTGACTCTTTGCAATCTTTGAATGCAGGCCCGAGCGGTGGCCAGATCAATCAGTCGGCTGGAGGAGTAACCCTCACACCAGGGATGGGTCAATTTCCATCCGCATCTTTTGGACCGCTTAACCAGGGTTTCCAAGTGGGACAGAACTATGCACCGATCAACACGGAATTTCACCTGCCACCGGGTAAGATTAGCACTGCTTGCGCCGAGGAACACCCCGCTGACAATTTTAGAGCGATTGGAAACGCCGCCGCCGCCGTTTGCAACCATTCCTTTCTCCCGCGACCCTGATTTTGTCAGCCGCGGAGACATTCTTGACCAGATCGACCAGCTATGTTCGAAGCCGGCTGCTCGGGTTGCGCTCGTAGGCCTAGGCGGTGTCGGCAAGTCGCAATTGGCCATCGAGTTCGCCCACCGGACCGCCGAGCGGCACCCAGACACGTGGGTGTTCTGGGTTCATGCCGGCACGCAGGCCCGGGTCGATGAGGGCTTCCGGGCGATTGCCGACGCCGCCAAGCTGCCTGGCCGGAACCACCCCAAGGCCAACATCCCACAGCTTGTCTACGGCTGGCTGTGCAACAAACGAAACGGCAAATGGGTTATGGTCCTTGATAGTGCCGACGACCATGACGTATTCTACGGGACGACAAGTAATGGTACACGCAACGGGCAGCCATTTGCGAACTCCCTCCCGCAAAGTCAAAACGGGTCGATCATTGTCACAACCCGCGATAAGGGCCTAGCCGGCCGGCTGACTGGGCGGCGCCAGAACATGATCGAAATCGGGCCGATGGCGCAGACAGACGCTCTCGCGCTCCTAGAGAAGAAGCTAGGATCGGTCTTGGATAATAATGTAGCGGTGAATCTCGTGCAGGCGCTCGACTTTGTGCCGCTTGCCATCAGCCAAGCTGCCGCATACATACAGGCCAGGGCACCGCGGAGCTCGCCCGAGAAGTACCTAGCCGAGTTCCGAGAGAGCGAGCGGAATCGGAGCAAGCTTTTGCAATATGATGGTGGGGACTTGCGGCGGGACGGAGGGGCGTCTAACGCAATACTTACAACGTGGAAGATATCCTTTGAGCACATCCGGTCCAAGCAGCTCTCTGCGGCAAATCTGCTGTCACTTATGAGCTTCTTTGACAGACAAGGCATCCCTGGATGGGTGCTAAACCCTTCAACAATTACCCAGGACGGTGCTTTTAGCTTCGAAGATGATGTGGCGATGCTAAGGGACTACTGTCTCATCACTGCGGACGAGACAGAGGACATGTTTGAGATGCACGGGCTCGTGCAGTTGTCGACTAGGAGGTGGCTAGAGACGTTTGGGCAGGAGGAGACGTTTAGGGAGCAGTACATTGAGCGGATGGCAGCTTTATTTCCAACAGGCCAGTTCGAGAATTGGTCCATATGTCGGACCCTCTTTGCGCACGCCCGAGTGACTTTGGATTATCAACCTAGCGAGAATACGGTCGAGTCATGGGCTATTATTTTGCACAACGGGGGATGGTACGCGTGGTCGCAAGGGAAATATGAAGATGCACAGCAGATGCTGGGCAAGGCGAGAGAGGTACGCGAGAGGAGATTAGGAATAGACGATATGGCAACTCTCTCGAGCACGTCATTGCTTGCATCAGTATTTCTAGATAGAGGACTATGGAAGGAGGCC